GGCCCACTCAAGAATAATTTGAATGGCCCTATATCTTGTGATAGACATTACAGGAGAGGAATGGCAAATAAGCACAATAAAAGATACTCACCATCATTAGTCTTTAGGAGAAACAGTTTGTCAGTTTCTTATAAAATTAGTCATAGTTACCACTTGATTCCCCTTCCAAAATGAAAACATGTCCACAAGAACTGTACTCAAATGTTTGCAGCTTTATCAGCCCCAAAAACTGGAAACCCAAACTAGTGTATAAACTAGTATTACCAATTGAATACTACTCAGTAATAAAAAGAACAAATTTCTGATACACACAAAGCATTAGAGGGGTCTCAAAAGCATTATGCTAAGGAAAAGAAGCTAGACACAAAGGCAACACACTAAGGGATTCCGTTTATAGGAAATCCTAGAAACTGAACTGTATAGTTCAGAAAGCAGATTCATGATTCCCAAGAGCCAAGATGGGGACGGCCGGGGGTGGGGGATATTGACTGCAAAGGGCACAGAGGAAATCTTTTGGGGGTGATGGAAAGCTTTTACAGCATAATCCTCATGTATGCATGATTGTATACATTTGTCAAAATTCATCAGATTATACCCATAAAATTGGCACATGTTGTAAGTAAATGTTTCCTCAAAAACAAAACAACGCATGTTCCTACCTATACCACGAGTACGGTAAATGCATAGTTCTCCAAGCATTTCGGCAGTATTTCTCCCTTAAAAACCTCCATCACGAGGGATACCAAGTCTCCAGAGCGAAAGGAGTCCTGCGCAGTCACACTGCTAGTAAGCGGCAGAACCAGCACCCGAACCCAGATTTCCCCTTTCAGCTACACGTCATAAAGTGAAGAGCAGACACTCGGAGAGACCAGAGGACGTCCTCTGGTTGCCGTCTGGGCCAAGGTCTGTTTTCAAGTTCTACTTGTGAGCCACGTGTGGGACAAGAAATCAATGTAGTGGATTCGATCTGCACCCACAACTTTTTTTAATGGAAGGGAAAAGCGTGGAAAAGATCAGAGTTCACTATGTTCAGAAACGTGAAATAATCATACACAAAACTGTTTCAACTGCGGGAGAATTTATACGTGTACGTGTACTGGGCTACAAAAATGAAGGGTACTTCTTACTGTAGGTCTCAGCCAAGAAAATTTGAAAATCATTGCTGCAAGCCACACCAGAGATTACGACAGTAATACTGGCTGCAGGAGGGATAAAAGAAGAGACAGTCAGTAGGAGCCCCACACTTGAGACAAATGGTTGGGAGGGACAGTAAGCAAGTCAAAACGACTTCTAGTCAAAACGCAAGAACACTCTGGACACAATGATGGAGGATTCAGCATTGTGTCATCCACGTTCAATTTCTTCCTGTTTACCTTTCCAATCCCGGCTCCCTTCACTGCCCCGGTCTCAATCTTTTTGTCTCTACAAGGACAGCACTCTTTTTAACCCAGGCAAAGACAATGGATGGTTGTAAACTAAATGATTTTTTCACCTTGGATTGCACTTCATACATCGTGACTGCTCAGGTATTTGTAGACCGAACACGGTTTCAAGTATATGAACTCTGCCCAGGGATCTCAACACTACAGCAATACTTCCTTCCTGCAACCGGACAGTGTCGATGAAATTTTAACTCAAGAAATCACCTTGAAATGTGAAGTTTTTTTGTAGGCCTTCAACAAAGCGACTTAAAGAAATGGGTTAACATTAATGCTTCCCAGAATGTTTCAAAACTTAATGTTTCTAAAATACTTATTCAAAGATGTGACCACAGCTGACACCATTTTATGCACCTTCTCTCAAGTTCTACCCAAAACATGCTATTCTCACATTAAAAAGTTCTAAATTGGGGCGCCTGGCTCAGTCGGTTAAGCATCTGCCTTCGGCTCAAGTCATGATCCCACCTCTGCCTGCTGCTCCCCCTGCTTGTGCTCTCTCCCTGTCAAATAGATAAAATCTTTAAAAAAAAAAAAAAGTTCTAAATCAAAAATACACATGCAACATATATGTTGTGGGGTTGCCACCTTTAATTAGAAAACACATTGCCAGCACACATCAAAGCATCCATGGCAAATGCTCCCCTGAGCTCTAACTCACCAGAAACAGTTAACAGAGGCCCCAAGATAACCAGCTACCCTTTCCTTCCTCCCTCCCTCCCTCCAAGTTCTGCACTGGTCTGTGAGCATATAAGGCTCAACTGCAAATGCATCACATCACCCTACTGTCTATACGTTGGGAAATATTTTTAAAAGGGGTCAAAAAAGGGAAAGGAATACAGCAGTTCAACATACTTCAGCCTAAGTGAAACTCATAACTTTATGAGGCAAGTAGAGGAGGTATTAGTCCCGCTCTACAAGTGATCAAATTAATTGATTTGCCAAGGTCAAAGAGCTGAGAGGTGAAGCTGTCTTTCAACAAGAGTTTTCTGATTCCTAATCCAATGCTCTTTCGACACTGCATCAATGAGTAAGGTTTGCTTTTCAGTGTGTCTTCAAGATAGCCAGGCTTCTTCTCTAAGCTCCACAACTATGTATCCAGCCGCCTGAACTAGATGCCTGCTTGATCCTTCTCTGGACTTAAGCGCTGACCTGCTCAAGAGCCAGGCTAAAGCACAAGAGCAGAAGCGAACAGCGAGAGCTGGGGAGACAGCAGTTCAGTCAGCTGGTCAAGGGGAAAAAGGCCAAGGAGGAATCTCGAAGAGTCACGTGTACATCGAAGATAGAGGCAAGGCAACCATCAGTGATCCAGGCAGGTGGTCAGAAAGTCCGACAGCAAGCTCTTGTCATTTGTTTTTTGTTTTGTTGTTAAAGCTTCTTTACCCTAGGCAAAGACAGGAGTCCATCTCTGGAAAGCCTAAACAGGACCAAGCCATCCCCCGGGCCAAGGAAACCACAATACTAGGCAAATAATCAAAAACAGGGATTCATTCTTTTATTCCTTCAATGAAAAACTAGTGAAAATGCTTGGGGCACCTGGGTGGCTCAGTTGTTAAGCGTCTGCCTTCGGCTCAGGTCATGGTCCCAGGGTCCTGGGATCGAGCCCCACATCAGGCTCCCTGCTTGGCGGGAAGCCTGCTTCTCCCTCTCCCATTCCCCCTGCTTGTGTTCCCTCTCTCACTGTGTCTCTGTCAAATAAAATCTTAAAAAAAAAAAAAAAACTAGTGAAAATGCTTACCATGTACCAAACATACCTGGAAGTAATTAACACATTGTCTCTTCCTTGATGTTTAAACTGGTGAGAAGGTCATAGAGTGATACACTGCTTTGATAAAAGTACCACACAAGGCACTATGGTAACTTCCCAAAAGTTCTGACCTTCCCAAGCCCGATTACAAGGATGAGGGGAGAACAGGAATGGAGAGAGAAGACTATATAGTCTTCACTGAGGAGGAGCCCATTTATTAATCTAAGATCAGAGGAAGATGGCTTCCCAGAATGACCTGCTAAAGCCACTCTAGAAAAGAATCAGGACTATTTCTAGAACTTAGGGTAGAGGCTGTGGGTTGACAATGTGCAAGGTCAATCATAACGAGGGTAAGAACGGCAGCTCAATGAAAAAAGGAAAAAAATGTATAGTGCCCATAAAATATGAACCTCACATGTCCTAGAATAGCATTCAGCAACAGAAAGGAACAAAGTAGTGATCAAGGTACAACACGGATAAACCTTGAAAACATTATGCAAAGTGGTCTTTTGTGACTGAATTCTTTATCATGACTCCATTCATAGGAAATGTCCACAAGTGGCAATCTGTAGACCAAGTAGCTTGGCCATTGCTGAGGGCTGCCGGAGTTGGGGGTGAGTGGGGAGTGACTGCTTATAAGTAGGAGGTTTCTCTTCGGGTGATGGAAATGTTCTAAAACATTGTGGTGATGGCTGTATAGCTCTGAATACCCTAAAAACCATTCAGTTGTACACTTTACATGGATGAACTATATGCTATATGAACTATATTTTAATAAGACTATTACAGATCTACCATTGTATATTCTCATGGATGTTCAAACAAAAAAAAAAAGCAGAGGGTTTTATTGCAGTCCTAAGCAGCCATTTGAAGGCTAAGTCAGCACAGTAAGCATATGGGTTCGGAACTTTGTGGAACAAGACTGAAGCCACAGCTGCACCACTGGTCAGCTGCGCATACTTGGGCAAACTGCTTACTGAACCTAGCTGACCCTCGGAGCAACTGAGCGCTAACATGAGGACAACATCTACCTTGCAGGGTGAGAAATGACCTGTCCTCTGTGTAAGCACTCCATATCGCTACAACTTCCTAAATACTGTTATATGAAGAACGTTATCCAGAAAAGCTTACATCAACCTTCTTTTCTATTATCCAGAGGAAGAAAACAGAACATTCTAATTGAATTTCTTCAATCCTGCATGTCAAGACCTACATCTCATTCAGCTTCACATGTCCACCTTATCCTTTATCATTAGCCAAAAGTTACACTCAAAAATCTATTTTACAAAAATATGTATTTGAATATACAAGAATCTGTAATGGTACTATAAAGTGTTAATTACCTATAAGCAATCCTATTATCAACAGACAGAATAGGAAGGAATGGTTGGTTCTGTTTTTTGTTTTTTTTTTTTTTTAAATACATGCATGAGATTTTAGTCTGGTTTACTTTAATTAGCAACTACATATTTCAAAAAAGCTGAATGTCTTTAGCTACTTTTTTACCTTTCTGAAGTGTGCAATTCATCCCCAAAGAATGAGAGCTGATTTGAATGATTCAAAGTTGACTAACAATTTGTAATTAAACAATTTTTAAATTAACATATCAACTAGTTCCTTTTACTATTTAAAAGCAAAAAAAAGTCATGTATTTTTTTTTTTTTTACCAGTTCTGCCTCTATTTTAGCACTATAAAAAAAACAGCACATTTCCAAAACATGCAGGTTTTTAAGCAGTTTCAAAGGTGTTAGCAGAGCACGCCATCCACATGACATGGTTAAGATTCACAACAAAAGAAATGTTGAGCATAACCTTACCATATCATCCGTCAGGGTCCTAATATTTAAGTGCTGCAAATGAAAGAAACCAATCATATCAGTAATTTATAACAGCTTTTTTTTAGTTAATAGAACACATTTAAAAATTCTACAGTGCTAAGTTGAACGTAATTAAATTCCTGACAGTCTAATAAAAAATGAATTATACATTGTTTTAATCACCTTCTCAAGATGGACAAAAGGTACTCTGAATGTGTAGTTTCAAACATTTCCCAAGATTTCTTGGGCTTGCAAACCTGACAAACTAGAAACCTGTGCTACAATAAATATATGTTCCCAATTAACAATATTAGTTACCATTGAGTATATGGACTTAGGACACAATGGATATGGAGATTTAAAACGTGGAAAAAAATCTGAACCATAAGACAGTGAAACTTTAAATCTACCATTAGCATGCAGTATAGTAGATAATGAAGTACTTTGCTGGCTTAATTAACTTAAACAATTCTAGTAACGAAGAGAGTACTGGAATGACTATTTGCATCTTTAACATCAGTTTGATTTATCACCAGTGGTGACAGTAGACACTTTTCAATTTCATTGCTAGCTTCTTTGAGAACCCTTTTGCTGATTTCCCTGCTAGACAAACATAAGGCCACTTTAGAAAGTGAATAAATTAGTTTCTTACAAAGTGGTGTTCAAAAGAAAAAGCATTTAGGGGGAAAAAGGCGGCCAGAAATCTAAGTTTTATAAATTCTGGAGTCAGGCAAGATTTTGTATTCAAGGAGCTGGAATCAATTTCCAATGCTCCCTCGTCTTACTCAGTAGCGTTAGACCATTTAAAGGGGCAGAAAAAGGGTCAAGTGCATTCCTAAATAGATCTGATTTTAGAAGTATAAAAGAACATGTGTCAGCATTCATCATGTAACAGCCAGAGTGGCACTAACTTCAACATGGACGGAATGACATTTTTCATGTTTGTATACTGGAATACACCTTTATGCTCAATCTATCTCAGTGATGACCCAGATTAAAAAATTGTACAAAGGAAATCACTATCCCAGAGTCTCTTTGACCAAGACATTCCTTCCTCTAGGGCAAGGAATACAGTAACTAGAGGGGCCCAGAATGAGCTTTGTGTATAACCAAAGCTGAATAACTGACCACACTTAACAAGCCACACCACTAGGTTCTAGCCTAAACGCTGTTCAATGGGGGAACAAAGAAGGGACAGTACTGAATTAACAGAACGAGTATTTAATTCTGGGCTAGAAGTGGTCTTCAAATTACCTTCAGCCCTTGAAAATAACAAGCACAGAAGTCCTTACGGGTGGGTATACTCCTGGGCAGAATGGTTAAGATTTCTGAATACTTAGGGCCACAGTCTCTTCCCAGAGGCCATTACTAGAATTAAACGCCAGTCGACAGGGCTCTCAAGTTCGCAGAAAAAGTAGAAAGACTGGGTAGAAAGCAGTAGAAAGAACCCTCCTTCTAACTGCCCGCTGTTATGTACCAATTTCCTGCCAACAGATCTCCAGCCCATTGCACGTGGTGAACTCATCTCTATTCTTCAGCCAGAGATACTGCCCCAATCACAATAGGCATCACACCTGAAAGGGGTCGTTCTGCATTCCTCTCACAAGACAAGAGGAATAGAGCCAACTACCAAAACAAGGGCATTCTAGGTGGCCTGATGCTTGAAAAGTAAGGCGAAAGACAAAGGATCTGGCTGGAATCCCATTTAGAAAAGTACGCCACGGTAAAAAGAAAACATCTTCTTCAATTAAATAGTCCCAAATACCAGTTTGAGTTGCCTGAGGAAAATGCCATAAAAGCAATGTCGAGAGAATGGAAAAACAATTTTAAAAGCAGCTAGAGCAGAGCCCAAGCAAGATTCATGATTTAAAGACTGCATAAGAGATACAGAAAATACAGTACCAGACAGGAAAAGTTGAGGGGGGGTGGTTACAGCATGCAAAATACAAAAGATGTAAATAGCCAGAAACATTTTTTATAACTTTGAAGGCCTAAAGCCGCACAGCCCTTTCAAGTTAGAGTTGGACTCATAACTCAAAATACAACAGTCACCCTTACGTAGAAACAAGACGTAAGTTTTGTTTTTTGTTATTGTTTTGGTCATAACTTCTTTGGATCCTTAAACCAGCTGAGAATTTAGCTTTAGTGGCGCCGGGTGGCTCAGTCAGTTAAGCGTCTGCCTTCAGCTGGGGTCATGACCCCGGGGTCCTGGGATCAAGCCCAGCGTTGGGCTCCCTGCTCCCGTGCTTGTGATTTCTCTTTCAAATAAAATCTTAAAAAAAAAAAAAAAAAAAAATCTAGCTTTTAAAAGGACTCCATTTGTTCAATGCTTTGTTTTTTTTAAAAACTATGTAGGCACATGCATACGCCCAGTTCCTAGCTATATTATCTTTTACAAAAAAAGGACATGTGATGAATTATGACAGAATTATAATACAGGGGTAAGAAACTTCCTTCACTTGGATCCTTTTGAGTTTTAACAGTCTGAGAGAAAAGCAAGAAGCCAGTTCCTACTCCTTCTCTGGAAAGCACTTGCCTATCAATTCTCCCCACTACCCACACCACAATCCAGAGAAGCCAGTAGGGCAGGAAATGATGGTAAATTCAAGGACCCACAACAGGACCACAGGTAGTGACCAACAGAGCAAACAGCTGGAAAACCAATCTAAAAATTCTGGTTCCTATATCAAAACAGTGAAGCCAGAATGAGTTTCACTTCAAGATTTAGCTTTCAAAAAAAAGAAAAATTACATAGCTATTTGTTTACACGCAGGCAGTCTGAGACTACTAAAGGCCCATCAGCATTTAAAAATTTAAGTAGGGGCAATTATTCATGCTTTGACCTAAAAACTGAAATGTCCAATCCCAGTCTACTTCAAACATGACCCAAAGAAAAGATACACTTTTTTTAAATGTACAGTTTTATCAAGTGGTACCCTTCTGTAGGATGTTTGCAAGCTAATATTAATTCAAGTTTTCTGTGAAGTGGACATTACATCAACATTTAGATCACAGACTTCTGAAAAGTCGAAGGGGTAGGGGGAGAGGAAATGATGGACATAAAACCCTGAGATAATTCTGTGGGGTTTCGGCCTTCTTGTAGTAAATATAAAACTACAAGGGTGACATCCTTAATTAAAAAAAGAACTTTATTATAAAAAGTTACTGCCTTTATACTGCTACTCGAGTTACTGTCTATATGTCTGGTTGGCCAAGACACTTAAAAAATGTAGTTGTTTTATAGCTACCAGCAATGCGCTTTACTCTGGCTTCTGCTTGGGGGAAATAGGAACTGCACCCATCAATCCAGCTCATGAGTAGCATTTGCTGAGACCCACACCAAGAAGGAAATGGAAACGTTCAATGGAAGCAGATAGGGCCACTTTAAAAATAACCTAATAGCAACTTTTAGGATTATATTTGTATCTCCACACACACGCACAGAAATTGAAAGCATACAGTTTTAGACCTATGAAAACACTCATACCTAAATGTGATTTTGTGACCTTTAGTTACATTATCTGGTCTGTGATTGTATGGGTGTTATTAACGCTTTATGGCAATGGGATAAATCAACCTGGCAGTAATTTCAAAAACAGTTCTGTACACAGAACAATTGGTAAATGGTTAAGGTGTGGTATTAAAGCACATTAGGGCTCCTTTCCCGAGCCAAAAAACACCTTTCTTCCTGTGTTCCTACGTTGCTCAATTTGCTAATTCTACTTTCTCCCTAAAAAGGAAGGAGCACCTCATATAGATAAGGAACAGTGTTTTCTGCTCATGACAGTTCCTAGGGTGGATGGTCAAGAGGATCATTCCGGAACTGAAAGACAAAAAGTCTTTATAGTTTGTTTTCCTTTTGGATCCTATGTTCTTTTGAAGAATAAAAAGGTAGAAATACACAACATAGGTCTCTATATTCGCATTTAAGCAAGGCATCAAAACCTTTATTGAAGACTGTACATGCTGTCAAAAAATAGATCTAGAGCTTCAGAGCACTGTAGGAAATGCTGTAAATATCAAGAGGTCCTTCCCCAACCAACTTAGTTTACAAGGAAATAAGACCAGATAAACTATATAATACAAAACAACATACAAACCGAAGGTCCACATACGCTTTAAAAAAAAGATTCTAAGCTATAGCCCAAGACTTTTAGACAATTTTATATTTTCTTTCATTGGTTAGCACATTGGAACCAGCAGGGAGCAAAGGATCTGTCCATGTCAGTTACATGGCAGTCACCACCAGGTGTCAAGCTAGCAGGTCTAATCACTGTCAAAGCCAAATAACATTTAAAAAATTTTTAGCTGTTGCAATTTAATTTCATCAATTTACATCCTTGAAGTAGGTCATTATGAGCCACTAACGAGGAAAACCTGTAAGATTAAGGCCTCTGAAGGCACCTGACTCAGACCCAAATTTCATCTCAGCCACCTGGTTTCTTTCACCTTGTTTGTGTGCACTAGAACACACCAAGATTTTCTCTGAGAAAGGACAAGGTCTCAGCTTCTCGAGATTGATTCAGTAGGTCTCAAGTGGGGCTTAGGCACCCCCAGTTTCCAGGGGCCCTGAAGGCAATGTAGCCACCAGCCCAGGACCCCACGAGAAACCCTGCTCTGCACTCCACTGCCACCAGCCGTGAAACATCCCCTCAGCCTGCACACATACGAATCTCTTGTTAGGTGGCTCCCTTGAAAACCGGTGTCCCTGAAACAAGCTAAACGAAGGGTACAGGTAGGAAGTACAAGCCGTTTTCAAAGAAGTGAGAAAGACTGAGCTGGTACAATTGGGACACCAATTAGTATTAAGAGAATTCAACACTCTCGGCAGGGGCGGGGAGGTGAATTATTGCATCATTTATTCAAATGCTTAGTCTATCTCTAAAGGTACAATAATTCCAGCTCATAAGCATAGGTTTAGTACTGAAGGATCAAAGCTTGCTCATTAGATCAAACTGGGCCATAACACTATTTGCTTGTCAAAAAAGTCCATAAAGGACTGACACAACAAGGTTACACCCAAAAGGAAGAAC